TAAAAAATTGCTTTTATTTTTCCACTAGCTTGTTGTAACATTTGGTTGTCTGTCAATAAGGAGCTTTTTCTTCCTTCTCTCTCCCCTATGCTGCCTCCTGTCTGCAGTTGATCAGTCCATAAAGTGAAGCTGAATACTCAAGTATTATTTTGTGTAACAAGACTTCAGTCATCATCACCTTCAAAAGTAGCTGCCTCTGATTAATATTGTGAAGATTCCAAATTCTAAATATTACAAATGTTATTTATTGTGTATTGACTTCAGAGGTTGTAAAAAGAATCAAGGGGCCTGCTGATTTTCAAGAATATTCTCTTCAGCCTGTTGTTATGTTAGGTCTACATGCCAGCATGACTGTAATACCACACACTGCTGAAGGGGGAGGAACCAACCAAAGAGAAGCTAATAATGTGTTCTTGTTCTGTATGTATAGCTCTTTGTGTAGGGACTTTCCTTTCCACTCTTGACAACTTGGTTGTTCTCTTACTGCAAAGCATGTGGACAATGCATGATAAAGCAGAATTTAATACTGTTATTCGTAATCTCTTGACAGAAAACATGTTATAAAAGCCTTATTAAAAAACATTTCAAGTCTATTGCATGCTTGATAGAATTAGACCTCAGATCTGCACCTAACCACTGTTCTTCTAACAGAGGTTTTGTTCATGTCTGGGAATATACATTTGCTTTAGCTGGGTTATTTTGTAAATATGCTCAAACATAGTGTGCAGTCCTTGTATTTAGCTAACTGCACCAATGCATCACCCTGCTTGTGGATAAATACCACATTTTCGCATTCTTTCACCATAATGTTGAGAAAACTTTGAATCTTGATGGGGGAGTCATCTCCAGGGTGAAAAATTCTACATTATTCACAATGTGAAAATTGTTTCCAAAGAAGAATACTCTTATTTTCTGTATTCTGAACATTTTCTTAGTAGTCTGGATTGGACTGACGAGTCTTTGTCTAAAATAATGCTAGTTACAAATTTATTTTAACTGAGGATGGAGTTCATCTTTACGTTCATACAGCTCTTAGCACAGTTCTGTGATTTTTATTATTTCTGGAGTCATATATAAATCTTTGTATGGGATTTGGCTGAGGTGAAGTTGATTTTCTTGTAGAAGCCCTTATGGTACTATGTTGTGGATTTGTGACCAAAACACTGCTGATTACACACCAGTATTTTAACTGTTGCAGAACTCTGCGTGCAGTTTCAAGGTATTCTCTTTCACTCTGTTCCCCCTGCACACACATGACTATGTTGGGGGTGCACAAGAAGTTGAGAGGGAAAGCAGGCAGGACAGCTGAACCAAACTGACCAGATGGACAATCTGTGCCATATAATGCCATGTTCCACAATAAAAACTGAGGGAGGGGGCTTTGGGGAAGGTAACAACTGCTCGAAACCTGTCTGGGTATTTTTCTGCTTGTGGGAAGTGGTGAGTGATTGCTTCTGCATCCCTTGATTTGTTTCATTTCTTCTTTCTTCTTCCTCTTTCCTTCACCGCTTAAACTACTTTTAACTCAACCCATGAGTTTTCTTGCTTTTGCTTTTCCTGTTCTCTTCCCCATCCTGCTGGGGCAGGGGGAAGAGAGTGAGTGGCTACATGGTGGTTAGCCTCCAGCCAGGGCACCACAGTCTTAAAAGTAATTTTGATAGTACCTGGTTTGAATGGAAGGCTACAATAACAAATCAGAAGGAATAATGGCATTTGAAAGATTTGCAGTCTTTGCACCTGTAAAGACTATCTGCAATAGATAAAAATGTTTCCAATTATATGCAAGTGATCTGAACCTGAGGAGAACCTTAATGTTCTGGAGAATTACAGGTGTTTCTCTGAAAGCCACAGAGTTGAGTAATCATTCTTACCATTTCAGAAGATATGACAAATATCATGAGGCTTCAAGGATCTTTTTGTGTCTTTTCCATTTTAATTTATTTTTAACAGGAAGTATCACATAAAGATAATAAAATAATTGATTACTAATACAATATGTTTGAATAACATAACTGAAAGAAGTTCAGAAATTTTTCCTGTAACCTAGGTAAAGATAGGATAATTCTTTTGCTTGCATTGATGCGTCACTTGAGTGTGAAAAAGTGTAATCTCTGCTTGACATTGTAGGCTTAGCAGAACACCCACATCAGTGAATTTGATTTTACTGAGATAGCTTGTTTTCCCTTGAAGAAAGGTTACTAAGTGAGTAGAAAACAAACTCTACTGGTATGTCTTCATCTACCATTAAGAACACATAACTGATGCAGTATACTAGTGCAGCTTCTATTGGCATGGACCTTGTTAATTTGTCTGTCTCTTCCTTATTTCTCCCCTCCCCCTTTATATCCTGGCCCCCCTTCTATACCCCTCAAGACTGCAGAGCAAATCGTCTCAAATGAAAAGTCTAAAAATAACATAGTAAGTGTAAGCAGAAGATGACTGATTTCAATTCTTTGAGGAGAAAGTGAAGCAGTCAAAAGATGGCAGGGAAAGGAAGAATAAAGAAGTAAATTGAAAAGAAGGAAGGAAAATAATTCTAGCAAATCCTGAGAAATCAAGAAGGAATGAGATGATAAATGTGGGAATCTGAGAAGATAAAGCATTTCCTTAGGAGTCGTGATTGCATGTTCTGATGCCTTGAACTGGCTAATGCACTGATAACCTGTGACTTTTAGAACTGGCAGACTGCAGGTGCTGGTACACAAATAAGCACAGGAGGCCCGGGCAGAAAATTACAGTTCTCAGTGCTATATATAGTCCTGAACAATGAGTTGAGTAGCAAGGATAGAAGATGCAAACCTGAAACTGTAAAGAATGCTGTTGGATGAAATTCACTGCTGTGCAGTCATGTCAGGACACTGCAGTAGGAGAATTACAGCAAACAGACTTCAGATCAAGTGTGCGTAGCTGGGGAGGATGACCTTTGGGTTGCACCCATTTCGGAATTCTTCTAGATGTCAAAGTGCTGACCATGTGCATGTGTGAAGGAAGTGTACATCCAGGCCCACCTCTTCCTTGCTTGAAGTCAGGACCTCTGGCTGCAAACACTTGGCCATGCACAAGTGCTGAAAGAGAGACTTAACTGTTAGGGAAGTGGTGTTCTCAGAGGAAATAGTAACAAGGATTGTTCCTGATCTGTGGTTGACATTTGGATGCAAACAAAATAAATAAATAAATAAATAAATAAATAAATGTGGTGCTTAAGGAAGGACTGATAAAAGAAAGAGTCAGAACTGATGGGAATAGTGATTCAGGAACCGCTCAGACATTTGGTGAAGAGACTATAGCTAATTTGTTTAGGAAATTGGGATCAACAAGGAATGCTTGTGTGCTATGATAAGTATCCCGGGCAACATAATGGAAGATTTACTGATGCATAATAGGAGACGGTGTGTTTCAGAGACAACAGTAGTACCACTGAATCATATTCATGTTCTGAAAGGTGTGGAGAGAGAGAAACAATAATGAAGTTGGTAATATTAGGTTAAACATCAGTGATACTATGGTGAACTGCAAAAAAATAAAAATCTTTAGATAAGATATGGCTGGATCTTACTTACAGTCACATTTGGGAAACATTAAGAAAATAATTCTTCTGAATTAATTTTAGGATTCTGCTATGGGCACCCAGGGCTAGAGTTGGGTATGGTTAGAGACTAAGTTTCTTCATATGTGGAGAACTAATTTTTTCTAAAATTAGAGTAAATGTGCTATGTAGAAAGAAAATAATCATGCTGCTTTAAGAAACAGCCCATAATGCTATCTTGATCTGGTTTTTGAAATACCTTATTTTATATAATTTTTTTTTATATTAGTCACGAAGCGTGGACAAACAACATGCTGTACTTAATTATGATGCCTCTACGGATGAACACTTGGTGAAGGATTTGGGCAGCTTGAATGGGGTAAGTTAACATCAGAAATTGATAGCTGCCTATAGTCCTTTGTGTTTGTTTCAAGGATTTTTTTGAGCAAGGACAGTATGACTTAACATGTTTACATTAATATCTTTTTAATGCAAGATTGGAAGTGGGGGAACATTCAAAAGGAAAGTGTAGTTTTTGTGGGTTTTCTACTGCACCTTATTTCAAGGGCTGCAGTAAATGCTGTTAGTAAGAGGACCTTGGCAGTAGGAAAAATCTCAAAAGAATGAAGAGGAATATGTTACCCTTCTATATTTCAAAAATGTAAAAAAAATAAAATTATTATTGTTTTAAAAAAGGGGTTTTAGTCTGGTTAAGAAATTGATTTTTATTTTGTATGCTATTCCTCTTTTCTCCTTTTTTTTATACAGAAAAGAATGTTTAACTGTACTTCATATGTGAAAAAAGTTTAAGTATGCAATAACCACGTTGTATGTAAACCTATTTAACTAATTCTGTGTTTTTATTTAGTTTTTCAGTATCCTTTTTGACAAAATGTCTATGAATAATGTGTGTCAAGTTATTACAAACTAATATAGGAAGAATGCAAAGTTTTGAGCATAGTAAAGTTTCATATGACACATTATATTTTAAGATTTTTTTGTATTGTGTGTACAATAGGTAAGCTTCTCGTTTTATAAATGTTTTGAATATTAGATTATTAAAAACATAATAACTGTTGAATTTTGTAGCTCTTTAGGTACTTTATGATGTGTTTATACACACTAGTTAATGTTTGTTATTTTAGATAACTTTAAATGTTTGTGTCATGAATGTGTACAAAATGAAATCATGAGTCTCATCTGTGATCGTTTATTTGAATTAATCTTTAAAAAGCAACAGGTGGTGAATAGCTTTGTCAAATATTTTAAAAAATAGAAGATGAAGAAGAAATCTCAAGTTGCTGCCTGTTAGCATTGATATGGGTCTTGGTGTTTGATCTTGAAGTGCATTTCAAAATACAAACCCTGTTAGTCTGTCTCTATTACCTTTTCTGTATTTTAAGGTAAATAACTTGGCCTTCCAAAGAGTCAGAGTTGCAACTGCATATGAAACCAGTGTAACCTGAAGGGTTATATCCTTTGAACAGTTGTAGACATATAAGAACTTTGCTCCTTAAATATTTAATATAGCTCTGTATTGTGAAAGTCAGTGCACCATTTCAAGGCAGTGTTCAAAAATTAATTCAGCGCATAACAATTTTTTGCTGAGCCTTTTGATTTTATTCCCTAATTCTATGTTACTCCTGTAATCAATAGGCATACCTTCTGATTTTCATTGCCTTGTCACAAGACATGAATTTAATAAAAATGTGTGTTAAAAGGCCTTCGTTTGACTCCTTTGCCTCTGATAAAGAGCTTTCAGTTAGTCATTTGCTTTGTTTGATCTGATTCATTCTCAGGTTAGACTTGTCAGATGCTTTATAGATGTTTACCCAGAGACATCAAATTAACTCTTTCTTCCTACAGTTTTGGGACAGGGAATATTAAGTCTTAGAAGTTCAGTCTTTTTTGTCTTTGTGGTACTTCCCTTACTATCTCTTTCCATCTATGCTTTTCTTACATACCTCTGCCTATCTGGTTTCAGGTCGAAAGAGGAGAAATGTAATTTTGTAACACCATACTTAACTGTGTGGCAGAACTCTCACTCTTTGAAGAATAAAGCTTTGGAAATCATGTGAATATATAAAAATGATTTAAAGGGGGGAAAAGATTCCTTATTTGCATAGTAACTAGCTTTTTCAGGCTAGCTTTGTCTTGTATTCCAAAGCCTGTGGTGGGACTTTAAAACTCCAGCGGCAAAGCAACGGAGGCTTGGTTGTTCTATGCCGTCAGTTCAGTTGTGAAGATGTCTGTAGACTGCACACACTGCCTTGAGAGTTCTTCGGGTTGAGTATACTGCATGCACATGAATTTCAGAACTCTGACCTGGGAGGAAAAATGCATATGTACATATATACATACATGTCCACAAGGCAGCCTAAATTTTGGTGATTCTCTAAAATTCAAGCTGCCTTGAGGATATTCTTCACATGGACTTTTGCTCTGGACTCTCACAGTATTAAAGTGGAATAAATATTCATTAACCACCACTCAGTGTTTCATGCTTAAAAGCTAGTAAATAGTTAGAATCATAGAATCATCAAGTTTCAACCCCCCTGCCATGGGCAGGGACACCTCCCACTAGACCAGGTTGCTCAAAGCCTCATCCAGCCTGGCCTTGAACCCCTCCAGGGATGGGGCATCCACAGCTTCCCTGGGCAACCTGTGCCAGTGCCTCACCACCCTCAGAGTAAAGAATTTCTTCCTAATGTCTAGTCTAAATTTACCCTCTTTCAGTTTATACACATTACCCCTTGTCCTCTCATTACACTCCCTGATAAAGAGTGCCTCCCCATCTCTCCTGTAGGCCCCCTTCAGGTACTGGAAGACTGCTAGAAGGTCTCCCCAGAGATGTACCTTTAGCTCTTATTTCTTATAAAAGGTATTTTCTATTAAGTAATTAAGAAATTTTTGAAATAATGACATAAACATTATTTTCATTTAGAAAAATAAAATAAAACAGAAAATCTCTTTACTATTTTGGGGAAGGACATTGTTTCTGTCTTTCCAGACTTCATCTAGTACTAGATTTAGATGAGGAACACAAGCATTAAAAGATTCAGATTCTTGGCTTACTTATTTATTCAAGTTCATCTTGTGCATGTGTGTGCCCCTAATTTCAAGGTGCTTAAAAAATGTCATATTTCAGCTGCTGCATTCATTAGGAACATGTACATGATGTTGTACAATCTTAAGTTTGAAGTAGGATGATCCTGTGGGCTTGCGATACTCCGAGTCCCCAAAACTGACACAAACCGATAGTAAATGTGTTTCAGAAAGGCACCCTGGATATTTGATCTATCTATACTGTTAACATGTAGTTGTTATGTAAAGTAAAAATAAACAAGAAGCTGTAATTTTTTTAAGGTATGGGAAAATATACAACTGATTACATTATTAATAAAATAATACAACAGTCTCATAACAGCTAATCCATATATATTTTATTTGCCCTGAATTTGTTCTAAATTAAGTCTTCATTCTGGATTTTAAAAGAAGATGAAGGAAGTAACACCAAGGAACAAGAGACTTTTTACTTATAGCGAAATATATAGAAATATATTCATATTTCTTACTAGGAAGATGCTATATTCTTATAAGTCCAGATGTTACATTCTTTTAAGGTAAAAGGAGAGGGAAGATTTCAAGAAAGCCAGGGGAGAATGTAGGGAAGAAGAACTTAGTGTAAATTGTAGCTTCTTAATGCAGATTTGAATTGAGCCTTGAGGAATAATGTAAGGCAAGATGCTGTGCAGAACTGTTTTGTCAGCTCACATTGTAGAAAGATTCTTCAAAGATCTGTAGCTCTGAAAGTGTCTTAAATATTATGCAGTTACATTTACTGTTTTCTTTTTTCTCTGTAACCTGATTTCTAGTTTTTGTAATGGAGAGCTTAATATTCTATTCTGCTAGACAAAGCATGTCTTCACCCTTTTATGTCTCTATCACTGAGCGAATTCAGAAGATAGTGAATATTGACACAATGTAGAGTTTTCTCTGAAGGTAACGTTCATTTTAGGAAACAATTCACTTTCACAGTTAGAGATTCAGCCTAATTTGTAAAGTTCTAAAAGCAGTGGTATGACTTGGGACGAGCAGAAGGGTCAATTTGAGAGCTGTCATTGGGAAATCCATTCTGACCTGAACATGTATTGTTCTTCCTCCTTGCTGCCTTTGTAATTAGTCATTGTATATATCTCAGGTGTTCTCTTGAAATTTATATCAGCATATTTTTGCAAATTCCTTGTTACTTTTCGCTGTTAGGTTTAATCCGGACCTTGAAATCCAAATGATTGGTAATCTGTACTGCCTCTAACATCCAACTGGTATGGCTGGTGAAATTGGATAAACTTTCAGATACATAAATCGTCTCCAAATTACTGAAAGCTTGTCTGCTTTCTCCAATTATGGTTCCAACAGTAATTTCAAGGAGGAGAGGATTACTTATTGTACAGTAACTGAATTTTCAAAAGGCATTGTCAAGCCAACAATTTTTTCTGCTTTGCTTCTAGCTGACATAATAATGTTATTTCTGCTTAAAATTTTTGATTACCTACTCTATCAAGTGTCACAATATATTGAATTCTTTGTTACTGCTATTTGGTGTTACTTGGATGCGCTAACTGGGTCTGTTTTTTCCTTTAAGTCCTTTGACAATGTTTAGAGATGATAAGCCACCTCAAAACTCTCATATCCAATGATAAATGTTATACAAATGTGATAATAAATCAATTCTGACAGCTAGCTGGGATTGAAAAAGCCAACTTCAAGAAAAATAATGATTGGGGTTGCTAATTTGAGGGAATATTAATGAACAGTTCAGTAAATACTGCTAACAAGATTTTCAAGGCCAGCGTGATGTCAGCAGCCTGGTTAGTGACTGGTGTTTAACCGTCTTTTGAAATATTCTGTGAAGCAGGTGACAATTTGAGCTTATATTTTAGTTCCCCAGTGAATCACTAAAAGAAAATCTGTGATGCTGAAAACTTTCTTACAAAATTAGTTAAGTGATTTGTCATTTTATTATTTTGGAATTTGACAGTTTCTCTTTGTCCTCATTTGTTTCTGTAGACGTTTGTGAATGATGTGAGGATTCCAGAACAGACATACATCACTCTGAAGTTAGAAGATAAATTGAGATTTGGATATGATATCCTTGTCACAAAAATGCACAATGCCCTGACACACTTTCTTGCTAAAAGTGCAGTTGTGTTAAATTAATGGTTCTCATACTATTTGAGAAGCAATTTTAAAGTATGTATTTCTCTCGTTACTACAAAAATGCGTATGTTAGAGAAAACGGCGGGTTTTAGAATACTGTACCTTGGTCAGAGCTATTGATAAATTTCATTGTTTATCACCACAGGAAACCTCAAATTCCAATTGCTATTTAAAACCTAAAGTATAACTTCTGTTTTGCTAAGAAACATTACTTTTCTTAGAGGCAAATACACAAATATTTGTATTATATGAGATCATATACAAGTGGAGAAGATTACAAGTAATTATTCAGCAAACTACTGAATGGGAAAAAAAAGAGAGCTTGTATTATTACAATATTAAGGTATCTGCTCAATGTTCTATTTACAAATAGTAAATACGTGTATTGTGCATTGGCTTTGATGAGTATGATTGTACATGCTAGTCTTAACAAGTGTCACCATTCTGATGGCAGAATAGGCTGCAGAACTGTTGCTTTTCTGTAAAATCCATTTGTGAATTGAGAAATCTTCCCAGCGTTTTCCTTAGCATTTCCTACATACTAATCTTTTTACTGTCGTCAGGGGAGAGATGAGAGTCCCTGAAGAAGCACTTAAGGTAACAATGTGCAGTTCCTACATCTTCTGTGATTTTGTTGTTATTGGTAACATAGGGGTTTTTTCACTCTTTGAAGGTGTTTTTTTCTTTATTTAATGTCATGTAGCATGAAAAATTCACAAGCCAACTCCAGTTATCCCAAAAATCTTCAGAGGCAGAAGGGTCAAAGCAAGCCAGCTCCAAAAGCTCAGAGTCCAAGGTTACAGACTCCACAGCTGAAGTGCACCACAAAACTACAGAAGCACTGAAATCTGAAGAGAAATCAATGGGTAAGGTTCATTTTTGTTGCAGAAGCACACAAAGTTGGAAAGGGTATTTATTTGCTTTGCTGGGATGCTTGTTAATTTATATAGGTAGTAAAAATTCCACGTATGTGAAATTTTAAACACATTTTAAGTGCAATTAATAACTTCTGGAATTGAATTTCTGCCTTTTTTACTGTAGTAACCACATATTAAGAAAACTCATAAAGGAACATTTAATCAGCATTTATCAGATTTTTGCATTTATCTTTCAAAAATCACAAACTTTCAGCATCTGTGGCAGAAAAGTGTGATATTTTTTGCAGTTCAACTGAAAGTATTCATTCAGGAACAGTTTAAAATTTTTACCACCACTATTGTCAAATGTGTTCTTTCCGTTTTTTTGGTTTTTGGTTTTTGGTTTTTTTTATACCTGAAAGGGTGGGGAGTTTGTTTGTCTTATAGATATTAGCATTCATTGTTATATGCATCAGCTGAGAACCTAGACATTTTATTGTAGTTTAAAAATTTGTAGAAACTGCAGCTTAGGTCTTTTTTCTAAATCATTTTTCATATTTATGTAATGTGTCATGGTGGCTTGCCTGTGGTTGTCTTAATGTCAGTGTGAGGCTTGCTAAAGTTTATTGTTCCTCTTATAATAACTTGCTATGTTACCTGTTACTGCAGGAAATATGGAGCTGACTATGTCTGACTCCTTAGGTCAAGGCTGTACAGTTTTTGTTTAGGTTTAATCTGTTCTTCTGGAAGATACACTCCAAACAATTCCCTTCCCCACAGATAGGATTTTGTAGTATAACAAAATACTCTGTTTTGTTGGCTGATATAGCATCCTGTTAAGGGTACATAAAACCTAGCCAGTACTTCAGTGTTGCTATTCAGTATGGCTTTTCAGCATTCATGTCCTCTTAAATTTTCCTAACATGGCACAGTGTGGTTTTTTTTAATCCTCATCTTCCATTTTTCTCCTTACTCTTCCAAAAATAACACTCAAAGCTGATGATAAGGCTTTATATTTGAGGGCAACTCTCAGAAGCTTTTTGAGAGTTGATTCTCTCACTGTTGCTGTATTATATGCATAGCTGTTTACTATTGCTAATTCAGTGCACAAGCATCAGACAAATTTCTAAAAACAAGTCACTATTCATTAGAGTGTAATCCTGTTTAAAAAAGGAAATACTATCTTCAAATCATATTGAAACTTTCAGCATGGCTATGAAATTATATATGATATTTGGCATGGCAGTGAATAAAACATTGAATAAAAATATTGAAATTCATAATAGTCAAAATAACAATCAAGCTACTAAGCTGGATTTGAACAGGTCATCATGTTTTGTTATATAAAGACTGTTTAACGTATCTTCAGAACATCTGTATGATACTAGAATAGATAAATCTCAGTTGGGTGAAGTATTGTCCCAAGAGATCAGATCAAAACTAATCCAGTCAATTTATCATCAAGGTAGAAATCTTAATTTCATCAGTGTGTTTTTTCTTATTTAATCTTTATGTTTAAGTGTGTTTAATCATGTATACACATCCTATATAAGAAAAGCATTTTTAATTGTACTGTAATTTAACTGTTGCCTTTAAAAAAAAAAAAAAGGGTGTGCTCAGTAATGTTTCACACAAGGTAACTTTCAGCACTCTAGTAGCTGTCAGCAATTTGGAACCTTGGCAACATTGCAAAATTTGATCAGTTTTTCATGCAGTGAGTTCGGATTTCATTGAAAGGTCAACGTGGGTAAAAGTGAGAATCTTCTCGCAGAAATAGCAGCAGACAGCTTTTAGGAATCTACTGCTATGCTGATGACTTCAAACTGAAAGCAGAAAATAATGTTTACAGATATAACAGGGTAACAATAAGAGGTGTCAGCTGCCTTTGCATAAACATTTGTGCCAGAAGTGTTGATCAGGTCATTAGTAAGCTTTTATATTTAGAAGCCAGATCAGTTATCCAGCCTCTAAGTTTGTTTTGTATTTCAGCAAATGCATGCAACCAATTCACTTTGGCTTCCAGAAGAAACAATCCAAGCAAATGACTCTCTCTTCATGTTATTTTAACCTAAATATCACAACTAAACAGAAAAGTAATTTCCTCTGCTTTGGACTGATTTTATAGACCTTTCTGCCATGCCTCGTGGGACACCTTTGTATGGACAGCCAGCCTGGTGGGGTGATGATGAAGCTGATGAAAAAAGTGGTTGTAAGCCAGACAGCAAGCATGAAGAAAAAATGCATGAGACGGGGGCTTCAGGTAAGTGTTGTTTTATTTTTGTGGGGTTTTTGCTCTTTAGTAAAGTACATATATTCTTAACTAGGGAACTAAACAGATATGAATGTTTGGAAGTTTCATAGACAGTTTGCATAGATGAAAGCCTATTAAGTTAGTTTAAAAAATGTATTCCATGAGAAAGTATGCCTTTCCAGAGACCAATTTCACATATAATGTATCAGTTTTCTATTATATAATGCAGTTTGTTATCAGTAAATATAGAAAATAATGTTACTGAACTAGTGTGTCTTATTTATCAATTTAATAAATATCTGTCATTTTGTATGCTCAAAATTAGAGATTGCATAGGTATATTGTGTCAAAATAATTTATGAAAATAAATGGTACTCTTATTTTTGTATTTGACTTTTAGCTATATAAGGTGATCTATCCTAACATTCTCCCCTGTAATTCAATAATGCTGCACTAGTGGAAATTACATTTCATAGTTCTTGGAGTAAAGATTTGCATAGTCTAAAGTTAAACTGGTAATGCTTGTTTCCCCATAATACAGATTTTTTTTTTTTAGTTAGCTTGTCTATCCGCAGGAGGTATTGCCAAAACTCAAGTGGCCATGTCTATAATTAGGCTTCTAAATCTATCAACAGGCATATAAATAAAGTGACTGCTATTCTAATAAAGAGAATAACCTTAAAACTTATTGAAGCTGTGACAAAATTCAAATTTGTTTAGCTGTTTAGACATGGATTTAAGGCCCAGAAGTTTTAAGTTTTGCAATTTTTTTTAATCACTTAAATGAGGTGGGAATTTCTCACTTCTGGTAATAGTCGTTGTCATGAATCCTGTTTTCAGGAATTGGAGTAAACTCTAAAAACATGTAAAAATCAAACTAAACTAACACTTCAATGTAATGAAGTCAATGTCTTTGGAGTTAACTTTTTGTCATAGCCTTTAATGACCTTTTTCATGTTAGTCTAAAGTTTTCACAGCTCAGAAAGGAAAGTAAGTCCCTTGAAATTTGGACCAGTAGAAAGAAACCAGGTGAAAACATTTCAATTAGTGACAGTTCTGGTGCAACTTAACTTTTTTGCATATAAAAGAACTGAATCATAATGTAGTACAGTTATAGAACACTTTCTTTGCTTGTTTTTTTAGTGAAAAATTTCTTTACCGTATTCAGCATGAGTATGCTATTGTGTGCTCCTGTGGAGGCTTTTTAAGTACAGATTTAGTATCCTGCATTAGTAATCTATAACTCTACAGTTCAAATCTTGATAGAAATGTGTTCTTCACTTTTAAACATTCCTAAGGAATACAAATTTTGTTTCTAATGGCAATAATAATGAGAGACAATGACTGTTAGGTGGTGTTCCACTTCCATTTTTCTCAACAAAAAGGAAAAACACATATGTCATCAGTTACAAAGAAAAAGAATAATGTCCTTGCCTTCAAACCATGACGTTGATAGACTTTCTAGCCACATGATTCTCCTTGCTTTCCAGATTACAGGAAGCATTAGCTATTGGCCATGAAACCTATGACTCTGTATCTTGCTGTATAGGCCAAAACAGAGATGGTAAAGTCTCTAGTATCTGTGTTTTTATTGCTTAGATGCCAGTGTCTGTAGCAAACTGATACAACAAAAATATGAATTCATCAAGGTTTTTATACTCCTGTGTCTGTCTACATTGTTTTAATTTGAAAAACATGCACATTATTTGTCCTCATTAAATATAGGATTATTAAAAAGTAATATCCTGAAGTCAGTGGTTTTGATACCATGCCATTAACAGGGAATGACACAAGATTCCAGCTTCTATTTAGTAGCATGCATATTCTTATTTTTTAATAATTTTAAATTGCTTTTTCAGAAGCAATATTGCATCAAATGGTTTACATGCTCTTGTATTTATTTTACCAAGAGATTTTTCAGAAAGTGATCAGTGCTTCTGTCTTATTTCCTGAGTTCAAAGAAAAATAGGATTCCAACTTTCTCTTAAACTCATCAAGGAGGTGCAAGCTGTTTCAGTAGTAGATGACCATAAGCTAGTCCTAGACAGAACTTCAGTAGTGGGGATATTTTTGACATGCTTTGCCTTAGTGAAGTTGACATAAGGTAAATGATGGTTGGAGAAAATGTACTAATATCTTCTGCAGTGTTTAACTGATTTTGTTTCTTTGTTTTCTGCATATATACACTATATATAAAAATAAAATTTCGGCCCAGAGCTTTCTTGGCAAATACTTTTTTTCTTTTTTTTAAACATACATCATATGTTAGAAATCCCTCTTGTTAAAGTTTTTGTTTAATCCTGAATTTATCTCCTAGGAGTACAATTAAACTAAGCAGAGTGTATTTGAATAAGTAAATAAAACATAGTAAACAAAAGCTTGTGTGAAATGTTATAGGAAGTCACTGCAGGGAAAAATCCCAAACCTGACATTTTTGCAAAACAATTTAATTTGGGATGATGTGGAACTAAAATCCCTTGTATAGACAAGTAATTTATTTATCTTTATCACTTAATCACTGAGTAGACATTAGTCATATGTTTTACTAGCCTGGTTTTTGACTGTTGTTTTTCAGTAGTGTTGGCAGTAGTTGTTTTTCAGTAGGGTTGGCAGAGAGTATGAGAATACAGACCAGGTAAGAGTTGACATTTGCTTCTGTGAACACATTTCCTCAGTCTCAGAACACAAACTATGCCTGTGTAGAAGTGTGCAAAAAATATCCTGAATATTTTCATGCAATTCTAAAATAAAGAAATAAGCTTTTTGGGCCCCTTTGCCCTAAAATTACATTCCATTAAAACATTAAGTTAATTTTCAACAAGTTAGTGTGTATTTTCTTCATGTGCTTAGGTTTTATAACGTAGATCAATATAATGATTGGAACTCAATTATAAAGAAACACTGTCATTAAAGGAAATTGGAAACTTCATAAGACAGTCATGTTTGGATATTTTTTTAATAAAAACAAATTTTAATTAAAAAAAAATTGCAGATTGATTCAGTTATTTGTCCTTTTGTGAGCTAAATTGTACCAAGTATTTAAAACACTGATTTGGAACGTGCTTTGTAATATCAACTGCCTAAGAATAAGTACGTTACAGGTGAATTAATGTATGTAAGTCCTTGAACTTTTTGTTTAGTAACTCAAATCAATAAAGCCTGTTATAATTTTAACAAATTAATGCTATGCAGAATCTGCTTCATGCTTTAGTGATTTGGTACATAGTTGCTCACTGAGTACAAAAGAAGGCATGAATTATAACAGATGGGGCAAGGTTTAATGAGGAGATTGAAATGGGAGATTTGTTTCTGCTAAGCCAACTATAGACAATTAGTCTTTACAGTCTCAAGTTAATTAGATTTTTTCAATATTACTGTCTTTCCATCACAATGGAAACTCACTAATGGAAATTATTTGCAAACGGAGCAGAATAACCTGAAAAAAACCTTTCTGCTTTTTTCAGACATGCATGTTGCTCTAATTTAATGATCCATAGATCTACCAGTCCATATTAAAACGAACAGTTGAGTATATACCTATGGTGTGACTTTGTCTATGCTACAGCTGTTAAACTTACATGTTATTGGTAAGTTTACCAGCTGTGTAATAATTATTGCAATTGTGTTACACTCTCACTTCCTAGAAAAACAAAAACTGCATTCTGTGCTGATCTCAGTAGTAGTTGTAGAATTTTACATCATTAACGCCTTTACCATAAATCTGAGAAAATATAGAAGTCAATTCTTAAACAGAGTTTAAGAATCTGAAGTAATTTTTTTCCATTTGGCATGAAGTATTTTTTAATTCCAAAATTGCATAACACTATCAGATTAAATGTTCCTTACATTTTAGAAGCAGTGTCATTTTAAAGTAAAGCAGTCTGACTGTTATTTTAGAAATTCCAGTGTAATCAGTATGTGTAGGAGATTACACACACATGTTTAATTGCTAGTATTAACGTTAAAGTTACTAGAAGTTTGTTCTAGAATTTTGATGAGTTTTGGCCTGGAATATGTGTAAGTGCTGCATATGTAAGGCTTGGTTTGCAAAGCTATAACAGCAGACGTGCACAGTGTGTCACGGGGCGCTTACAGAACTTTTTAGAGCCATCACAGCAATATATTTAAGACTAACTTTGCACTTCTTTCACTGTAACTCCTTTAAAAAAAAAGCAGTTACATGATTTATAATGAGAGGTGCGAATTTCTACACAATACTATTTTATAATTTTTTTTAGAGAACAATTTTGATATTGTTTCATAAGACAGGTTATGACAATGTTAAAAGACAAAGATCTTCTTATTTAATACTAGGTGAATCGTTACATGTATTTTTCACAATCTTGTCTTTAAATAAGAAATGAAAAAAATGCTTCAGCCATAAAGCAAAAAAAGAACCTAACAGGTAAGTGGGAAATAAAAAGTAGTAATATGGAGAGAACGAGAGAGGAAACAAAGAAGCTTCAGCTTCTTTTCATTAAACATGTAATTGCACAGTACCAAATATAAAACTAACATATAAAAAGTATTTTAGGTTATTGTGTAAATATGATAGTTTGGCTACTTCTTATACCATCTGCAAATAAATATTTTCATCCTGGTTTACAGACATTTTTTCAAGAAGTGCTTTGTAAATTCCAGCTAATTTTCTCTTGTAAGTTTTATTCTTAAAATTGTATTTTTAAGGCAGAACAAAAAAAATATTAAAAAAAAAAAACCTGAAGACTCTGCAAAATATTTTCTGAGGTTTCATCCTATCTTTGCAGATGACAATATATTCTATACACAGGCAATTTCTTGCATATCTTATAGATTGTGTTGAATTGCACAGAACACATATGACATTTCTTGTCCAGATTGGCAAGTAAAATTTCAAGATTCTGACTATTTGTGTGTGTAACGTAAGAAGTAAAACTTAAAAATTAAAAAGTCCTGGAAAAAGTAATCAGTTCTGCTAATGTCACAAAGTGAATATTGCTTTTCTGGTCATCATCGCTGGGATTATTCTAGTGAAGAATCTCCCTGAATCTCCATTTGGTTAAGCCTACAATTTCCCAAATATTACATAGTTTCCCTCTTAGCCTTTCTTAGACTCATTATTGTGTTAATAGTCTCACTGCGCCTGTGTAGCAGCTACAGTTATTGCTTCATTACTTGCCTTGTAGAAACTGTTGTCATTTATAGCTCTAGACCTATGTAGAATGAGAGCTTCTTCTTACAGATACCTTGGTTCTTTTTCTGCCCCTTTCCTTTCACTGTTGCAAGTTGGAGGGATGGCAATTCACAACCCATCTATCCCCTTGTTTTCCCCAAATTCCACACAATTGCCTTTTTTGTGGTACAGATACTATGCTTGTTTTGTTAAAAAATTATAGAGCTGTGATGACCACTATCATCAGTATTTACTTGAGAGTTTTCTCTTAAAGCTATCTGTATTTAGTCTGATATATAATTTCCTTCATCTTGGCAGATGACTTTTAATAATAGGATTTCAAAGGTAAGGCTATTTTATAGATGACTCTTTGTAATATTTAGAAAGCTGCAAGGACTTGCATTTAGCATTTGGGTGAAAAAATTCTGAAGGATAAAGGATCTATATTAATTTTTTGTTTATCATTGTTTTCAATTCCTTATTCTAATAAATTCTGATGTATTTAACTCTTCTAAAAATGCAAGTACTTCAGGCTGAAAATAGGATTTCTAAAAAATTAATATTAACTTGTACTTTGAGTATTTTTCGTTGTATCATTGCTACGAATTTTTCTAGTTTAGAAAAATTTACAATTTTGTTGTAGATCTGTTTCTCACTTGTTTTGATTAAACTGTCAATTTAGATTCAAATGATCTTATAGCATCTGTTCAATCAAAAATATTAGCAGCAAATACTGTGTGTATAATTGTAGTACAAACAGTTGATTTCAAATGTTAAATTTGGTGCACGCAAGTTTCACCGGGAAAATTTATTTATGAAGTTTTCCATCAGTGCTGACAAGCCAGTGTTACAGATCTCCTCATCCTAAGCCTACTATACAACTGATGCAGTTTGGCCACAGTCTTAAAATTCTTAAAAGATGGTGACAAACCAGTTATTTCATATTTACTGAAAAATATAGTTTATCGTGTGGCCAGTAGATTGCTCCTGCTTGGTCCCGAAGTAGAAATACTTCTCAAAACATACTGTATTAGCCAGTTATCTTTTGAAGGAGCATTGAACACTAAACCTTGCTTAATTATTAGTTACAGGAATTGTATTAAATTGTAGGCTTGAAGCTCTGAATAGATCCATAGGGGAAAACATAAAGGTACGTATGAACTGTCTCCCTGATGCGTTACTGTCCTGTTCAATGACAGTTGCATACTGCAAGGATCCTGTCTCTAGATTAGATCTCACAAGAGCCTGATCAATTCTAGCTTGTTAGCTGGATGAAACAAAGGGAGAGTGATGGTAGTTCACCTAAAGTTTAGTAGCTGCAAAGTATGACTTTTGTTTATTTCTGTACATTTTTCTTTCTAAACATAGAAGCTTGTTTAATGACCTTTGCATCAGTAAAATAGACTCATCCTATGTTGTTTGTCTGTTGGCATAAGCGTTTTCAGGAAGGGGGCTAAAAAGGCATTCTGTTTCCCAAGGAAGCAAGTAGTGAGTTGCTCTTGTAATGCCTGAAAACTGCCCCACAGATATGAGGTAGCTGACAGTGCAATGAAAAGCATTAGCTAGGGTATTCTCGGAATACAACAGCACAATATAAAAACTGTCTAAATTCTGAATGGTTTTTGTGTTTGAAACAGCTACTTTTAGGTAAAATAATTTAAAACAGCTCTGTTACCTGCATCAGAGTTCCTGTTGGTATCCAAGCATGGCAATAGTAAAGAATATGAACTATTTTTGTTATCACTGCATAATTCTGTTTTAGACTTTTCCAACTGCTATGCTCTCCCTTAATCAGTTCTATTTCTCTGTATCAAATTACCAAATTACCAAATTTTTATTTTTTAATTTTTAACCTTTCTCTAAATCTTCACAAGAAGCATGTGTTTGTGAAGAACAGCATAGGCGCATTATGCTGTCCTGCATCCTTTACCCTTTAAACTCCTGACTCCAGTATAAGTCTTTCTGTTGCTACCTTATTGCCTTGTAGTTCATACACAAGTGTTAACTGTCTTAGCTGATATAGTGTGCCTGTTGTTAGCACCAGAAATCTATTATTTGCATTCTTATTCCTTTACTTGACAACATAAAATGATTTCTTAAACATCCTAATGTGGTTCATAAGTTGTGTAGTAACTATTCAGAATTCTTTTGCTGGAAATCTTGCCATTGCTGTTAACATATCAAGCATCAGTTGCTTATAGGACACCTCTATGCTAGATATTTTGGCTACCTTTCTAGTTCGTGAAATGTAACCAGGTTTGTTTTCGTAAGGGCACATTGGTAACTGCTGCAACGAGAAGCAGCTTTAACCTTCGTTCAGGCTATACAGTTGGGCTTTCAATTACTACCCCATGTTTTTTACACATTCTTCTTTCTTTACTCGGTTAGAGCATGGTTTGGTGACATTCTGCATGCTTCCAGCTATTGTTACTTTTTCTATTCTTCTACAAATTATGGAAACAAATAAAATAAAAGCAGATGACAGTAGGATTTAGCTTGATTCTTTGGTTTTATCTTTTGCAGAAACAAAGTGTTTGAATTCCAAAAAGCTTTCCAGTGCTTATCAGTGTTAAACTTTCCAAGCCAGAATTAATGTTTCTCTTGTGTTAATGTGTGAATTGTTTTTCGAAAGGATTTTAACAAACAAAATTATGCCAGCTGTCCACTGCAGGAGATGAAAACCAGATCACTGGCACTTGTTTTGTGGGAACCTTAGCTTGATGTTTTTCCAATACATTGGAATTGCAGTAATGATCATCTCAACTGTTTCTCTAATGTGATTTACCTGTTTTCCATGTGCTAATAACTCATCTGACCTTTACATCATGTAAAATTTTTGGAATGCAAATTTCCTTTGACAAATTCTAAGTGAGCTTTTTGCCACTTTACACTCCTTACAGACAAAACTCATGCTGTCTTTTCAGAAATACTTTTTTATATGTAATTCTGGAATTCTTTTTCCAGAACTACATTGCTCAATCTTCTCCAGAATCTTACTGTTTATTCCAGAAATAACTCAAGTGGCCTTTACAGGAGTTCAGAAACTTCTTGAACAACCTGAAGTTCCCATGTATTGTGAAATCAATTTTTTATTTTTCTTAATAGGATGCAGCACAGATGCCAAGCAAGCTGAGGAGCAATCTGCAGCTGCAAGTGAAGAACTTTATCCTTTCTGTAGGGAGCCAAGTTATTTTGAAATCCCTACAAAAGAATTCCAGCAACCTTCACAGGTAGCGGAGAGCACTGTTCATGAAGTTCCAACGAAAGACACCCAAAGCTCCCATGCAGCAGGTGCAGGGCATGCTTCCTTTACCATTGAATTTGATGACAATACTCCAGGAAAAGTAACAATCAAAGATCACGTGACAAAATTCACATCAGAACAGCGTCACAAGTCAAAAAAGCCTTCTTCCTCCAGTGGTCAGGACCTGCCTGGGCTTCAGACGGTGATGATGGCTGCAGAGAGTAAAGTAGCAGATTGGCTAGCACAGAACAATCCTCCTAGAATGATATGGGAACCAACAGAGGATGATTCCAAAAGTATTAAGAGTGACGTTCCAGTGTACTTGAAGAGACTGAAAGGTAAAGTGAATAATACCAGCTATGCTTATTTCTGAAAGCAACAGTTCCTCACCAGCATCTAGTGAGTGGATCCCTGAGCCCTTGCAGAGTTCATTTGAAATCACAGATACTCCACATACGCGCAAGGATCTGTGCTGGAAAGTTTTATTGCAGTATTAAGTCTTAAAAAGAGGATAGAAAACCAAATCCTAAATCATCTTACAATAAGTATACTAATTGGAGATATTCTAATACAGCTGAAAACATCAGATATTTAAAACATTGATTTTGAAAGGGAAAAAGGAAAAAAACAAAACCTTAGTTAAATTTTATATATTTAACTTTTTCCCATGTATTACTTTATAAAGCTGAATTGTTTTTTAAAATCAAAGCTCTGGAGCTCAAATGATGCTTTTACCAACTCTTCCAATAACATATGTTCCGTGAATATTCATGTGCTCTAAGAAAATAATTTATGGCGAAGTATATATCCTGTAGTTATTCTGCTTAAATCAGTCATGTATGATGGAGTCAGGTTTGAGTCAGGAATCAGAAGTAGAGCAAGAGCTTCAATTTTTATACTAAACATGCAGAATATTGTATTTATAAGAATTCTGGCGTTAAATGGAGTTTCAGGTGATTATACGTGTGCATTTACTGCTGGCAGTGACACTTCGAATAAAATTAAATCAAATCTTAAGTGTGAAAAGTGTATATGCTTTTGGATGCCACTTAGCACAATAGAGAAGAAAGTAGTTTTGATGTTCAGATGAAGATTCCAATGACGTTCAAACTTTTGGAATGTAAACTTCTGAAGAACTCTTTCAAGTCTCTCTTATTTCTGTTTTTAATTTCAGCAGGTTAACTCTGCAATTACCATTTTTCTTGATTCTGCAATATTATCATCTCTAGTTCTTAAACCAGCTGGGACTGGGCACGATGTGCTTTGTGTTAGTCATCGAAAGTCTTCTTTTTAGGGATGACTCTTCCAAATTAACCTAAAAAAAAATAAATTTTGAAAACAGAATTATATCAACGTGCTAGCATTAAGATAATATTTCTTCTAGAGTATATCACAGAGTATTCTTTGGTCTTCATTGTACTGTTTTATATTCATTAACATTCTTTAAAATATTAGCTGCGTTACTTTGAGAAATACAAAGGGCTTTGTTTACAAGGCCTTAGGCTTTTCCTGGCAGAAACTCCTCAGTATTTGATAAATTTTTGTCTGCTAAGAGGTATAAGTTATGGGGTGCATATGACCGTAATAAATACCTGAATTTCCTAATCTTCTGTGATCTGTTTGTATTCTCACTCATTACTTGTGCTTTTTCAAATCTTAAAGGTAGAGAATATACCTAGCCTCTTTGAAAGTTTGATTTTTTTTTAAAAAGTATTTTCTCCTCAGCTTTTTCTTACAATATCCTATACTGAAGTCACACTGCTGAAATTACGTTTTATGACTTTCACTGTGGTATTGGTATTTATTGTTATTATTTGGAAGTATATGAACCATCTCATCATTTTCTTAGGCACTGTACAAATAAGTAGCAAACAGGAATGTAAGTTGGAATTTCAGCTGTGTATTCAGTGCTATTAGTGTGGTAAGTAAGGTTTCCCAATATGTGTTTACTATTTAACTGAGTAGTAGCTGCATATCCTAACTATGTGAAAAAACCTTAAAAAAGCAATCCTCTTGAGAATTTAAAAAAAAAATATATTGTTCATTTATGTATACGTGAGTAAGACTTGATCCAAATGAGTTCAGAGAGGTAAAAATATTCCTTCCCAGGAGCTGAGCTAAAACTTAGAAGTTTCACTGTGTGTGAAGTTGCTCTGTGTTCAATGTAACTTGTTGTGTATGAGTATCCAGCTTTCCATGCATTTTCAGGTATTATTACAAAGTATATTTATAGGCGTACATATTATTTATTAAATATATAATCCTTATTCATAGATCTCAAAGTGTTTTGTGCAATGAGTATGAATACATCAGATGCCGAGGGAAGTGAATGATGGAAAAACTCTTTGTACTTCTTGGAAAGAGTAGTAAAGAATTCATTCCAATTTTCAGTAGACGTTTTTCATTATGAGATGTTGTAAATGTTTGAGGAATCCAACGATATGAACTGTGGCTCTCAATGGGTATTTTCAGCTACCAGGACTGTTTTAGGGTTTTATTTTTCCTCTTAACCTCGTCTAGAATGTTTCAGTAGTCATCTGTAGTCAACTGGTTGGGTAACAAAATTAATATAAATAGAAACATACTATACTACAGCTGGTAAAATACTGGCTTTTGTGAGTCACTGATAAGTATTCACACATGAGAATATTGGTGAAAAGGGTAGTTCAAATGCACTGCTGTTACTGATCAGCTTATGAAGTGTTTCATTGTTTGACTCATAGCAAGTTGAATGCATTACCAGGAGCTGCACAAAATTTGCATAGCCAGGTACTGAATGCTGTTGGAGTCTAAACAGAAAACCAATTTGAAATTCTTTCTTTCTGAGTTCGCCAGTTTCTTTTATATGTGTTGGGTTGGGGTTGGTTTGTTTGTTTGTTTGTTTCATTGTGCTACATATTCTTTTGCTTTGCTTGTAGGGAATAAGCATGATGATGGTACACAAAGTGATTCAGAAAATGCTGGTGCACACCGGCATTACAGTAAGCAGGCAGCACTTGAAGAACACTTAAGGCATCATCATACAGAGATGAAAAAGTCACACCAGAAAGTCCATTCCACAGAAAAGCAACAAGAGCAAGCCGTTTTGAGTCAGACTGCCTTTATGATTGAGTTTTTTGATGAAGACCATCCTCGAAAGAGACGTTCTTACTCTTTTTCTCAGAATGTAGGAGCTCTGTGCCCAGAATCTCCATCTCCAACACCTCATGCGCGATCTGAAAGAGTGAAACCTACATCAGCAGAGAAAGCAGTCTCTTCATCTGTGCAAGCTAACTCATTGCATCACAGGGCAGTACACGGTGTTCATGCAAAACTTCTAAAACAAAAATCAGAAGAACCCTCTGCTGCGTTACCTGTCTTACAAGCTGCATTGTTAAGGAGTTCGGGAAGCCTTGGCCACAGGCCTAGTCAGAACCAGGAGATGGACAAAAAGTTGAAAAGCCAACATATTCCTTCTGCTACTGAAAAGGAAAATGAGGATGACCAGAGTGACAAAGGTACTTACACTATTGAGTTGGAAAATCCCAATTCTGAAGAAATGGAAGCCCGTAAAATGATTGACAAGGTGAGAAACCTAAAATGTATTCTGGTGTTAAAGTGATGGTGTGTGGGCAAGTCTACCACTTCAGTTCTGCTTATTTAAGCTGCTGCAATAATACAAGTTTTTTAAGCCAGCCTATAATTATGCAAAATGGGCATTTGGTTAAAACTATTCCTTTTTGATACTACTCTTTTTTTAGTTTGGTAGTTTTCATGTGTTTTCAAATTATTGAAGTACTGTGAGAATACTAGGTAACATAATTCAATTGACTGGTACTTTCATGAGAGTTGTTAGGTTTAAATTTATTATGTCCCTGTGAAAATACTCACCTGTTCTTTAAATCCTGTGGTCTCTGTAGTTTTCGGTATATAAATTGGTTCCATCCAAATTATTATATAGAAATAGATTGTAAATGTTTTCCTTGCTTGTTAAAAAAGTATATTCAATAACAGTGACTTCAATTTAAGCATCCATTATAAAGAGTAAGTATAAAAATGCTTTCATTTTCCAAAAATGTTTATATGATAGCAATGTAATTTTCGTAGTTTGAATGTAGGCATGTGCTTCATTAGGCTTAGGAATCTTATGATGACCAAGTAGCTTCTTGGCTTCTTGCTTCTATATAAATAACAATATAAATAAAATGCAAATTGTATTTGCAGTTAACTCTTTCTTCGGATTCAACAGGAAGATATGGGTAGGAGAAGTTACATTTAATTGTTTGACTTAACTGACTCTTGAAGATTATTTTTCTTTTTGTTATTTTTGTTTTCCTAAACTATCTGTTGTGGTAGAATGCTGGCATCCAAATCTAGGCAATGCTTTGACCAGTTTAAAAGAAAATTCATTGCTTATTTGTTGTAGAATTGTCTCAGTATTGATTTGGTGTGTCTAAAACTTTTTCAGAGCTGAACAAATACATGAATTTATTTAGAATTAATTTTAGCTAAATGTTGAAAAGTATTTTTTGAAAGGCAAGCTAGCTTCACTGTTTTGATTTTGTAGAAAGTGCTGACAGTGGGGAAATGAGAAATTTTATTACAGATGGTTTCATTTTATAAAAAGTGTTTATGGAGCATTTGCTGGGGGCATGGGGAGGGGATAAAAAATAAAGAGAATTGCCTTCAATAAAATCATAGAGACAATGATTTCCCTTCTTATGGATGCTGAAAAGGAGACTTTTGACTTCGACTAGCATTCAAAGAACTTCTGAGAACTAAAAGCATTCCAAATGAAGCAAGTGAATATTAAAGAACGTCATTGCTTTGACTTAGTGACTACAAACATCTACATTTAATTCTTAAGTTATAAATCTTCAACTGAATTGCATCAGAAAACATGTAAGTCCTGTTTGTGCTAAGTGTAGCTGTGCAATGGGGTTTATATGGAAACCAGAAAAAAAATATTTGGAAATAGGCAATTTATGTACTTTATAAGAATGTTAATACTGTCTTATGCTTAATGAGATTTCATATTATAGTGGTATTTAATATCTGTTCAGGATATCTGCAGTTAGTTTTTCGTTTGAAATGAATCTCTCCCTTCAGGAACAGGAGGTGAATGTAAGCATTAGAGATGGTAATAAAGTATGGGTTAATATTCTGAGCGTTGCATAAAAAGCTTTTGGATATCATAAATACCCCTTGCTGCTAACTTAAAAAGTGTCATCACTGGAAATTAAAGATGTACTAGGAAGTAAAGCTGTGATGGGGTTTTTTTGAGGTCTTCCCTGTCTTTTCCCTTAGTATCTGTACTGAGGTATTATGAACAGTATACTTTTACACCCAGTTCAAAGAGTCCTGCTGCACAATTCTTATTTGATTTAGTAATATGAAAGAAGTATGGTATTATTTTTATGAAGTGCAGAAAAACAGGCAGTGAAGAAAATCAAAACCAAATGGAAGCCAAAATTTTTTTGTCTGGCTGAACTCAGCTTTGCTTCCCTCCTATTTTAAATTGCTAATGCTGTGGGTTCTGTTACTTTGCTGAAGGTGAATAAGTGAGGAGTAAAACAAAGACTTTTGTTAGCCTGATGGCTGCTTTACTGAGGATTTAAGAGAATTATTGCTATACATTTTATCAATAATTCCAGTATAACCTCTCTTTCTCTGTTGGCAAGTCAGTCCTTTTTCTGAACAGTTACAATGAGTGTTCAATTGAGTCTCATTTAAGAGTGTCTGTTGCGGCAAAAGATTAACTGAAATTCAAGAGCTGCGTTTGCTAGAACTGGGGTGAAAATACATTACAGGTAACAAGCAAAACTTTCTAAAACATTTGTACAAATAATGCAGGCTTGTCAATATCATTTTACATTAGAATGGTGCTAAGATCCATGTGTGCTTTACCTGCAGAATTTCCTATGGAATAAAATATGGTATTTTTTCCCTTTTGCTGGAAGAAAGGGTGAGAATGAGCAAAATATTCAAATGTGACTCATTCACTTGAGAAGCCTTAGCCTTAGCCTTACTCCTGTAGGCAGTCTACTCTTTTCACTGGAAAGGAATATAAGAGCAAACCACAAATGCAAGGGTGGCATTAACTTATCAAAAATCAAGGTGTGATTAATAATGCTTCTTTGAGTTAAGAATCCAAGAGAGGTATGAAGGAAATCAAAGATAAATGGAAAAAGACATCTATCTATATAATTTTTTAAAAGGAGGGGAAGGACCTTATTGAGCTATATTGTCTCCTTCAAAAGTACCATTTTTGCTTAATATAACCTTTTACTAAAGATTTTAGGAAATAGACTCAAGGAAAATAGATACTTAAGTAAAATTATTTAAAAATCCAATCAAGATGCTGTCCTGCTTATTCAACTTCTTGATTTCATTTAGATTGCTAAGGATCCATTTCTTCCTCTGCTATTCTTCCAGTCTGTAAGAAAAAAGTATTGTCTCTACAGCAGAAAAGGAGCAGAATAACAATTTATTCTTTGTTTCTCAACCATTTTAAAGCCTGGCTTTTGAAAAGTGAATGTGAGAAATATAACAAAATAATCAGAAGAAAAGACAAAGACGTTTTCTAAGTAACAGAGAAAAGCTTCTTAGTGAGATACTTTTACCTAAGAGGGAGGTGTAATCATTTATCTACAGTTATGATGGTCTTAGAGTGAATGTCTTGTCACTTACCTGAAATGAAAGATTCCAAAAACATTGAGGCCTGTGTCTTGCACACCTTTCAACACCAAGATAATTTGCTGAGTCAATTAAATTAGAATCAAACAAGATACCAAGATCTGACAGGCAAGGTCACTGGAATAAAATCAATTTATATAAATGTCCACACAGACTGAACTAAGTAGGAAAAGAGAAATTTATTAAATTTGTTGCAATTTTGCAAGACATAAAAATGTCATAAAAATAGTAAGCAGATAGTTTTCAGTTGTAAGCATAAAGACGCAAGACCTGTAGATGGCCTTCAAAGGTTGTTCCTATTTCACTTTTATGTCAGTCAATCATTTGGATTGATTGCATTATAAAATCTTCTGTGCTTAGATCAGCTATGATAGGAACTGGTGTAATTGCTTAGAATTTCAGGAATACTAATAATTATTTCTTCTGTGCTGTTATTTGGATTTTATTTATAGATCCTAAATATAGTGTCAGAGAAAGTAAATATACACTGCATTGTGGCCAGATTTGAACAGGTTACTTATGTTTAGAAGTGGTGTGTCATGTCTCTTAGAAAAAAACAAACATCTTGGAGAATAAAAAAAAATAAAAATTAAAGATTAAATAAGTAAAAAAAATTAAAAATAACATCAAAATTTTTAGAGGTTAGGAGAAATCTCTGGCTATGTTATTAGGCAGAGACAGAGAAGCAGTCATCATAAGAAGATTTTTTAGTTGTTTCTGTTTTAAAATGTAATACATATACATGTAGGTGTCCAGGACAAATATCAAAACATGAAACTATCAGAGAAGGAAAATGGATATGGCTTAGGGGTTTTTTGTTTGTTTTTGCTTAAGCGAATTTAATTTCATGATATTTCTGAATGGGCAGATTTTTCTCGGTTCCCATTGTAGAGGTAGTGGTTATAATTTGCAAACAGTTGCAATCTTCAGCTTTTAGCCACTGTAACTGCCTTCCCTCCTTAGTCAGTCACCGGGTGGGAATGCTGTCATTGCTGTATTCCTGTACTTACGTAGGATCCAGCTTTGCTTTATTGAAATTTTCTCCAAAACACATATTTGAGGACTTCTGACTCATTTTATTTTTTAGTAACTTGACATAATTAGTATTTCTTTCAAATCCTGTTGTTTTTTTGATATATAGCAACTGAATGAATACTGTCAGTATTGCTGGTATGGAAATGTGTTGTTCATTTCCCTCTTCTGTCACTTGTTTACTTGCATTTTTATTCTATCATGGGTTTCCATATGGTTCTGTCACTTTTCGTTTATAATTTATAGATTCTAAGCAAGATTGGTCCTGTTCCTCACTTGTTCTTTTCACTTGTTCTCTACAGTGTAAACGTATGGTTGTGTCTTAATGTTCTTTATAAGTAGAGAACACTTGAACAATAGCAATAAACCTTGCTTCCTAAAAGTCCTTTCATTAGCTGGTGATATTTCTGCATCCAGGTGTTCAAATGTCACTTAAATTCATAGAGAAGTATGAATTGGTTAGCAGGTAAACCAAGGTTTAGAAAAGAAATGTATTAATAACATGAAAGAAAGTGATGATTGAATAACAGATGCTGGCTCTCTTTTTACACTTGTAGAGCTCTTTTTAAGATTACCATTGAGAGCAATTTCATCAATGTGTAAAGGAGAGCTGCTCTTACATGCTACAAAGACCACCTTGAACATACCAGGCATGCAATATTCTGTAGTCAAATAGCTTCAGAAAGCTACAACTCTTTCTAGCAGAATAGTACTCTTGTTGTTGCAACTAGCGGTTTAGTACAGCATAGAGCAAATTCAGGACCCTAATTTGATTTAGAACATGTTTTCAGTATTACTTTTAACACACTAAATACACAAGTAAACGGGGCACAGTTGTAGTATTTGTTTTTCCTTTAT